CGAAGATTAAAGTTTTGTTGTCGATAACTTAATAATTTTAAAAATTTGTTGAATTTCCTATCTCCTCGAATTTAATTGTGGTATTTATTTATTAGCTTGGTTAAATCTAATATTTCGGCCATTACTTGATAACCTTAAATAGAAATCCCTTAAAATATAACATTACCTGAAATTAATTGTGAAAATATTCGAAATAAACTTAAATAGACTTAAAGGAAGAGCAAATTTTTTTCCATTATTCTTTTTAAAGAGATATAAATTTCCTTCATTTAAATCAATCGTTATCGCTTTATATCTCATTGTTAAGCGAACATCGTATCACTTTTTTTTTAAAAACCAAGTTAGTTAGTTTAAACTAAAGTAGTTTCGTCTGAACTATCATTTATTAGACGACGAATATAATTATATATTTATCAGTGTAGCTGTTGCCAATATCAATGCGGTTATTTGATCGTTATTTGATTTTCGTATTATGCTTATCGCATATAATAATGATACAATGATTTTTAAGGCAAAGAAAGGTGTCACCGAATTCGACGGTGACAGCAATAATTGGAAGTATGCAAAGTCGATATGTCTGAAAATTTGAGGTTTTTTCGTCAATAATCGGTTCAAAAACAGTATCAGACGGCGAATTATACTCGAAATTTATGCCCCTTTTAGGGGCGTTATGCTTAAAGCAGATTATTCGGCTAATGAGCCGTATAATGTAAAACCTTCTTCTACTAAATTTCACTGCCTTTTTGTTTTATTCACTATATATATTTGTATTACAACTGTGTTTTATCTTTCATCTTCATCACAGCCAGTGGTTAATAAGACTGCCCGAAATTTATCTTTCAAACAACTTAAAACTGCCATCACAGGTTTGAATTTTTTCTTCACATTTTTCCATTTATTGTATTTATTGTTATTTACTGTAAACTTTGGGGACAAATGAAAAGAAAACTGTAGAACAACCAATTATATTAATAGAAGAAGTTTTAGTTTAAGTATTATGAATATTTATTACATCCCTATAACAATATCTGAAAGAAGCATTTTGAAAAGACTTTAAAAAAAGTGGACATCTTTTAAAATCTCAAACTCATATTTATTGCCCATTTTTTAATATTATCCTAAGAAATCGATGCTTTTATTTTCGTATTATAATATTAAAAATGGTAATAATCCTATCTTTTAATAAAAAATATTTCTCTCTAACAAAAAATTCTGGTGAAAAAGAAATTTCAATGATTTAACAAAGATAATTTTTGCAAATTTTATTTCGAATTTTGTTTTTATTATTTTCTTTTAATAGAACCCCTATAAAGGCTGAAGAATTTAGAATTTAGAATTTAGAATGAATTCATGATATTAGTTATTAGGATAACAGCAATATCAGAATTGCTAAACCTATTTGTTCAAAATCATCGGTTATTTGGGGCCGATTGGCGCACTTCATTCTTTATGCACTATGTTTGCTTACCTCTATCCATTCATCATACAGTAAATACAATAAAGAATGGGATATTTCTTGAAAAATTTTTTTCTTAAAAATGAAAATGGAAAAAAGCCAGTTTTATTTCTTTTTTTCGCTTTTTCATTTTCAAAAGATAAATTTATAAATTTTATCACCAAAATCAGTGAGGATTAACACCCAGCGGAACGAACCTAACCAGAAATAGTAAGCGTTTGCTTGTTATTTTCTGGTAAGTTAAATTTTTTAACATGAATTTTTATTATTTAACATTATTCAATAAGTTCAATTGATTCAAGTTCAACTTCAGTTTGAAATATTATTTTGTTGATCGATTTTTGGTTAAATTTATTACTTTCGAATCTGTTATACTTTTTTTGACTTTTTTATAATTCTGAATTGTCGAACAATTTGATACATCTCAAGTTTTTTCAGTATTTTTTGAGAGAAAAAAGAAAATTTTTTCAACTCAGTAAATTTCATTTATATGAATTCATTAAAATAACCAATTAATAATTTTATATTAAGATCAAATTCATTTATTATCTTTAATTTGGCCAAATGGTCAAATTTTGAAATTAATCACTTTTTTTTCAAAAAAGAGTTTTATTCACTTGCTTTATTATAAAAGAAAGAAAATCGCTATCAATAATTGAAATCATGCATTTATTTTATAATTTTACAATTATTTATTGTGCAAAAAAATATATCTATCAGAAATTACAATTAAAAATGAAATAATGAAAAAAATTAAAGGAAAAAATTCATCATAAAAAATTTTTAAAATTTCTAATTTTTTCAATTGTAGCCATATTTCTTCGAAAAAATACATAAATTAAAAATTAAAAAAGTGGCAAAGCGATTGATTAAGCATTTTCACATTTTTCCTGCAATGATAATGAGAATGCAACGATAACCTATGATAGTAAGTATTAGAAAATTATACACGACTTAATTCATATCGCCGATATTTTATTCAAATGATTTTGATTTTAACTAATTCATCATGGCAGTAAGCACCATGGAAAATTTTTCCAGAAGTAAAAATTTAAAATTTTTAGTAAATAAAGTGAAAAAATTTTAATTTTAAATAAAATTTTTTAAAATTTCTGTGATAATTCTTAGATAAAATATGTCGCTTTGTTTCATTTAATAATCTCGATAATTTGTGCAATAATTAATATTTTATTGTTAAAACACATTTAATCTTGTTTAATTTAATTGAATTTCAGAAATAATAAATTAAAGATATCGTAAAGTAAATTGAAATTATATTTTTGCAGTTATCTTCATAATATTTAAATAATATCTCCAAAAATTTGTAACTGTTCTTTTTTTAATTCTACGATTTAAAAAATGATGAATATTGAACAATTCGTGAAAAAACCCCTAAGAGAAAACTTCATCTACTCAAAATTGCACTCTAGACACTTTTCACTTTTTATACATAAAATTCCTTTTCGTAGTGAAATGTGTGAAGTTTACGCCAGCTGCATTTCAGTAATTTTAGCGAATGCCACTTCTAATCTATTACAACTTTAAACTAATTATTATTTATTAATTCGCAATAATAATATTAATAATGATTATAATAGAAATGATAAAATGTGAAAGCCAGATGAATTTTTCTTTTGAATTGTTTTAATGAGTCGTATGTTTCGATGAAATTTGATTTTGCTGTAAAGAAAAATTAATGACACAACATCGGGTATTTTATTATTGTCACAACTTTAAAAAAATTTTAATTTTTAATTTTCAAATATATGAAACAAAAAATTTGATATTAATGAATTTTTGCTTGAATTATTTTTAAATGGAATATTTATTTTCAAATAATATTATTTCAAATAAATCGTTGCTTTTCCGAATTCTCAAATCTCCCCCTAATTTCGTGATTTTCGCCAATTTTTCTGAGACTTAATCACATTTTAAAAAAATTGCAAAATTTTTGTACCAAGTAAATTTTTCTAATAGCGGTTGAGAAAAATTTGTTTAATAGAAATAGGTTGTTCATTTGCGATTACCAGCAAATCTTCATATCACTATTTCTGATTCCTCAAGTCTATTCCTATGAATAGGTAGTACGAGTAGTACTTTTGATTCAACTGGCAATAAAGACGGCATAAAAAAAAACGGAATAGAAAAAGCCGTTAGCTGATCATATTGGATTCATATCATTTCACGTCAAATATAAGAATTATGTAAATAACACTTAAAAAATTTTAAAAAGAATTTTAAAAGATTCAAATTCATTGTTCAAATATTTTGGTTCTTAAGATTCTAAAGATTTAATCACATACAAAGAAATTACGAAATTTTTGATCAAATGCATTCACTAATTATATATGCAGTCTGCCTTTATTTTAGTTGCTTGCACGTTTTAGTTTGTAAGTAGTCTATGCCATCTGTTATTATACTGCAGAAAACGATAAGTTAATTGTTAAACAATAAACAATTAAATGCAAGTAAAGCTGTCTTCATAAATCTGATCGTATATCATTTTTATTAAAAACATTTTTGCATATAAACTACATTTATTTGCCTATCAATTAAATTTATATAATGAATTGCCTATTTACCTACTTTCGATTCCACTGAAACAACATAAAACATGGCATAAAAAAAATTAATAGAATAGAAGAAATGGCAGAGGTCGGCAAAAAGAATTTAGTAAAACTGAATTTCACATTGTGTGAGCGATCATTTTATTTTGTAAATAAATTCCCTTCTTACCTCTTGTGGGTGCTATGGGTCACCCTCATCCTCGAGTCCTCTACCAGGGATTCTGGGAGAAGGGTTTTGCGTAGCATCTTAGGCTGCATCAGTGTTATCTTTTAATCTATTTTTTTTACCACTGGTAGGATTTTTCAATATCAGCTGCCTCAGCTATCTGTCGATGGTATAACCCAAAGAGGGTTTTGCTTTGCTGTGGTACTTCCTCCGCTTGGTCAATGTCTGCTGATGCTTCAGGTATTTTCTCAGCAGTTCATACTTAATTCAATATATAATTATACATATATTTACACATAAATTCAATGAATCAAATGTAATACAAAATATAAAATAATTCTAAGCAAATAAAATCATTAGAGTACATTTTGGCAAAAATGCTTTAAACTCCTTCCTAAGTTTCGGCTTTACTGTGCAAACATTTTTAACCGATTATAAACAATCGACCTATGATTTGCACTTTTTTTAAAGCAAATTTGTTGAATAAATGAAAATTTTTCATTAGAGAACTATAGATATTTTACTATTTAGTTAATCTTGATATATGTAAAAAATTTCAATTTTACGACTAAATTAAAAGTTAGAGTAAAATAAATGACTCGATCTAGTAGATATTTTATATTGCAAATCGTTCTATGTTTTTTTGCACTTCTGAAACTCGTTCAATCGTTTGAAGTTCATTTTTAAAAAATTTAGATTATAAAAATGTGAGTCCTAAGCAAAGCTTGGAAAATAAATAAGTAAAAAACTTGAAAAAGGCGATGGAAAAAAGAAATTTTTAATTATTTTTAAAGAAAACGAAAAATGAATAATGCTCCAAAACAGTAAAAAGATTTCAATAATTTTACTAAACTTCAATAATTCAGTATTACCACTTCATAGCAATTTTTTAATTATTTCATTCCGTATCACGTTTTATTAGTTATTTAGAAGATCAAACAGAGCAATAGCCAAGCGTTTCTGTTAATAAGAATAAGAGCATAAAAAGAATTGATTGCATCTGTTGCATTCTTTTTCTAACAGCTCTTACCGTTACTGGCTTGGTTAGCTGCAAAGGTTTGCATCTGCTTTTTTCCATCGTCCAAGTCCATATATCGGTTTAGCAATGAAAAAATAACGAAATATATGTTAACTCTTGTGGTGGGCGACGAAAAATATCCCTAACCAGCGAAGATGATGCTCAATGTTAATATAAGTGGTGATTGAGCGAATTACTGTTACCTGTTGCTTTACTATGCTTTGCTTTCCAATTTACTACTTCAGTTTTATTTTAGAATCTTATGCCCTTTTATACGTAAAATTTCGAATTGAATAAGATCACATCACAGTCTGAGAATTATTTGCAAATTACCCTTAATAGTAAATTTAAAAAAAATTGTCATAAAAATAGCTTTAAGACTTTTGGAACAAAATCAGTAAATTGAAAAAATCGCAAGGAATTAATTCAGGTGAAATCGTGGAAGATGGTGAAATTTGGTATATTAATCGACATAAAACGCGACGACGACGTTCAACATGGGACACAACAAAGTCTTACGGTGTTCAAGGCTTGGCCCGTGATTGTGGATATAGTTGCTACTTCCGATTAAGCCAAAAAACCAAAGCACCAACGAAAACAGAACTACGCTTGTTTATGGTTCGATGGAGACAATTACCGATTCCAATTAATAAGTCTATAATTTTCATTATTTCTTAGAATTTTCATTATAATTATATCGAACGATTTTCTTAAATCGCTTTAAAGAGTTTTAAAATGAGTTTTAACGTTTTCCTCAAAATATTTCAGGAAAAAAATTTCAGATCATTGCCAGCATTAGAAAATAATCGTTTGCGTCCAGTTATACAATATTTGGACTCTAATGACGTTATGCATGCACATGTATCCAAATTTGTGCCAGATTGTCTATATAGTGCACATGCAATGAGTGCGACTGAATCATCCATTGTCAATTTATGTGGCCGTAATGGTGGCATGGTAAATCTGTTTATCTACAAAAAAATCATTATTTAAACTTTAAATCACTTGAAAATAGGGAAATTTAGATCTTTCAAATTTTGGAATTTAAAATGGAAAATTTTCAGTTCCATTGATCCTCAAACAAAGTTAATAGTTAATGACTAGGAAAAAAAACTTAATCAAATTTCAGTTTGGTACACTGGTATTATCGAATGGTACTTATCTCATTGAACCGGTAAAAAGTCACCAACCTTTACCTTCATCAATTAAAGCACACATTGTGTACAAAACCAGATCTCATTCATTCCACGATTTGTATTTTTCTGATTACATTAATTCTTCTATATCAGCATCTGCCAATAATAATATTTATTTTGTACAAAATGATACTGCCATTTTTCTTAATATCACTAAATTTGATTCATTTAATATTGATAATACAGCTAATAACGCCTCGGGTGATATTAATGGTAGGTTTCTTAAGAATTTAATTTTTAAATAAATAAATAAAAAAAAATAAAAAAGAATTTAAAATTAAGAGGAAAAAAAGAAGATTCGCAGACGAAGCGTTTTATAAGAAAGTTTGCTAATAAATTTGATACTTAGATGAATTTTATCATTTTTTGCATATATTTATCTTTATCTCCTCTAACCATTACCGAATGGCTCATCGGATTGTTGCAACCATTTTGAAGTGCAGGAGATGGAATTCTATTCTCGGCAGGAGTAAATCTGTACAAATCTTTACAAAATTTGGATAACTTTGGTGTCTCATTTGTAATTCTATCGCTAAGTGACTCTACGTTATAGAATTTATTTAATCTAGCAAGTCAAGTGCTAAAATAGTGAGCATTCTTAGAGGAAAACAAAGACTTTGTCGAGAGCTGGTCATCTATTACCATATATAAAGCTATAAATTTAGCAAATAAACGTTTCGTATTCCTCCTTCTTTTAACACTTCCAATTTCTTGTTTTGCTAAATTACTGACTGTTAGGAATCTAAGTCTCAGGGATAGAGATATAGGCCACTAACGCCACTTGATTTCATTTTTAATAGGCTGCTCTCGTCAAATGATAGGAATCGATCTTATTGTACTTTCCTCTCAGTCGGAGTTGTCAACATATCCGATCTTCTGTCTTCACATCCATATCACATTGGTTAAGTAACGCAGTTTATCCTCGATTACGAATAAAAAATATTTTATTAATCTTAATCATTATTCCTAGGCTAGTTACATAGTGCATTTAATTTTTTTCTTAATATCGACATGTTGACCATACTGATAACCTGTCTGATGATCATTTCGAACTGAAAGTGATATAAAGCAATATAGTTTTGATTTAGATAAAAACTCTCGATCTCGAAGGTCTGCCAATTCATGGGATCATTATGTTGAAGTTTTAGTCGTAGCCGATTATAAAATGCTTCTTTACCATCAAAGCCATCTCGAAAACTATATTCTTACATTGTTTTCAACGGTATTTCCGATAGTTTATTTTTCTTTTTTTTATGAAATTCTGGAAAGAATTTATTTTAAAATTTTCATTCGGTTTCATTTATTTCAAGCTCCATATTTTTTACATTTTTTGCTAAAAATTCTTATGAAATTTTAGGTTGCATCTATATATCGCCACCCGAGTTTAAAAGCAGCCATTAATATTATCGTAACCCGCATCATTGTATTAAAGAACGAAGCGGTAAATATTCCCTTTGAAATCAAGCTTGTGAAAATAAACTTAGAGAAAATATGCTTTACTTACAAATATTTTCAGGCTGGTCCTCTTATAAGTGAAAATGCCCAGGATACTTTACAGCAATTTTGTAGGTGGCAGGAAATGTATAATGATCGCAATGATGATGCACCGAATCACCATGATGTTGCGATTTTATTAACTCGCCATGACATTTGCAGGTTTAACTTTATTTATTTCTTATTTGCTCATTTATTTTAATCTTATGGTAGAAAATATTTTAATTGCAATTTTCATTTAGAGCACCAGGGAAATGCGATACACTTGGACTTGCTGAACTTGGCACAATGTGCGACTCTTTGCGAAGCTGCGCTATTATTGAAGACAATGGTTTGTCCGCTGCATTTACCATAACTCACGAACTTGGCCATGTGTAAGTTTTTTTTAAAGGATTTTCTCCTCTCTAAATATTTCTAAATAATAATAACTCCAATAATTTACTAATTTATGGTTCATAAATAAAATTCATTACTTCTTTTAATTTTTCAAAACTGAAGGAGTTTCATTCTCATAAGTTGTAAAATTTATTCGAAAAATTATAAAACCGAACTAAATTCATTATAGTTTTGTTGGATTGACTAGCTTTAAAACTTAATGATTTTTGCATAGTTCTCTCAAACAAAATTTGAAAAATTTAGATTCAATATTCCTCATGATGATGAACGAAAATGTAGTCATTACATGACTTTAAATAAAAATAATTATCATATCATGGCCCCAACACTCGAATATAATACTCATCCGTGGTCCTGGAGTGCCTGTAGCGCTGCAATGCTTGCGCGATTCCTCGAGTAATTTTTTTTTCATTTCTTCTTCGGTTAATCAGATCAGAAGATTTATTCATCCAGCACAAAGCCAAAGGTTTCAAAATTTTTTTTTTCTTTAGTGGAAATCGTGCACAAACTCAATGTATTTTGGATCAGCCAATTGAACGGCGTTATTATGATCGAATGTTCGAAGATCCAGCTCCTGGTACGATGTTTTCCGCTAATCAACAATGTCAGTTTGTCTTCGGTCCATCCGCGGAGCTTTGCCCTTACATGGTAAAAATTTCGACCAATTTTTCAAGTTTAACTAATAGATTTAAAAATTTCTTTTGATCGGAAGATATTACGAAATAATATTAAATATTTAAAATATAAAATAACATTTCTTTAGAGCACCAGGGAAATGCGATACACTTGGACTTGCTGAACTTGGCTTTTCTTTTTCGTAATTGTTAATATTTTTGAAGGCTCAGTCGAAATTTTTATGGAAAATTAGATATTTTACTTTAATGGTTGTCAAACCACAAACAGCCGCTACATCGGTGGCTAATTACTACCGAGAATCAAGGGTCTTACTTGGGTTTTAATCCACTGACACGCACCATTCTTCGTCTGCCGACAGCATTGCGAAGAAAAAAAAAGAGAATAGAATGGCTCAGTGAGTTATTGCTCAATTCGGAGCACTGATGCTGAGGTTTTACTCCTTACAGCAATAAATCTATCCAAAAAAGCCTATATGGTGATGATGATGACACTGTACTTCTGTCGTCAAGGGATTCCATGGTATATTTGCCTCGTGCGACAAGCCACAAGAGCGAGTCTAACCAGTAATTGTGAGTGCACTTTAAAAATCCTCAAACATTCATCATAAGAGATGAATAAAATAAAAAGAAATTTCGAAATAAATAAAAAGTTCGAAATAAATTTCGAAATAAAAGAAAAAGAAATTCACTGTGAAATTTCTTGACATAAAGTCTGAAAATAAGCAATAAACATTCTTCCACAAATATATCACTTATTGGTGCGCAAAAAATTTACAGCCTGCATGTCGTCGATTATGGTGTGCAACATATTATGGATACCAAATGGGATGCCGCACACAACATATGCCTTGGGCAGATGGAACGCCATGTGGTGATAATCAAGTAATATTTTAGTAATATTACTTGATATATTGAAGTAATATTCAAGTAATATTTTTTAAATACAGAATAGCTTTGAAAATTGCACTTGCGTTCACAGTTTATTTTAATATTTTAGTGGTGTCATCGTGGTGAATGTGTAGGAATGTCTCCAGAACAACGATCAAGACAAGATGGTGCGTGGGGAGAATGGAAGAATTGGGGTGAATGTTCGCGCACTTGTGGTGGTGGTGTGCAAAAAGCATTGAGAGATTGTGATAATCCAAGGTGTATATTTCCTTTTTTTTTTTAAAATTTTTTTAAAATTTTATGAACATAATAAAATACTCAGAAATATTGAAATACTGAAATCGCTTTTCCCGATTAATCTCCAAATTTCATTTTAGACCGAGCAATGGAGGTAAATACTGTGTGGGTCAACGTGAAAGATATCGTCCTTGCAATTTACAGGATTGCCCTTGGGATACTATTGGATTTCGTGAATTGCAGTGCTCAGAATTCGATAGCCAAAATGTTGGCATATATGGCGTCCCCCCTAACACCAAATGGTTGCCTAAATATGCGGGTGGTTAGTGATCTTAATAAGTTTAATTAGGGCATGATAGTTGTTTATGCAATTGCTAATGGCTTTTCAGTTAGTGAGAATGAGCGATGCAAACTTTATTGTCATGTGAGCGGCTCGGCTGCTTTTTATCTTTTGAGAGATAAGGTACTTGATGGTACTCCTTGCGATCGATATGGCGACGATATGTGCATTGATGGAGCGTGCCACAAAGTACCGGCTTCTTATCGAAAATATTAAAGTATAGGATGGATTACAAAATGATTATCTATGAAAAACCAGGCTAATATCGTATTAATAAAAGCTGCATACTATTAATTATCATTTAAAAAATCTGCGAAATACGTTGAGTCCAATATACCATCTTAGACCGTTCTAATAAAATATTTTTGCTAGAATGGAAGAAAAAATAGTATTATTTTGCTAAAATGGGAAAAATCTGATAATTTCTTAATTTGCTTTCGAAGGATTTTAATAAATCTTAATAAAATTTTAATAAATCCAGGCTGGTTGCGATCATCGATTAGGTTCGAATATGAAACGAGATATATGTGGAATATGTGGAGGAGATGGTAGTACATGTCATGTTGTGTCAGGATCATATAATGAACGGGGTTCATTCGGTTATAACGAAGTTCTAAAAATACCTGCTGGATCGGCAAACATTGAAATCACACAACGTGGTTATCTTAATCAAAAAGAGGATGATAATTATCTTGCTTTGCGAAGCGCGAATGGCGATTTTCTACTAAATGGCCATTATCAAGTATCTGTATTCCGTCAACAAATCTCTCTTCAAGATACAGTTTTAGAATATTCAGGAAGTGATTATGTGGTCGAGCGTATTAATGGGACTGGACCGATTAGGTGAGCGAGCATTCACAACAATATTCTTTCCGTCAGCTTGATAGTTTTAATAGTTTTTATAATACAAATAGCCGGATAGAATTTGGTTTGATTAACTGGATGTATATTTATTTTTTTTTAGAACGAGACATAATAAATTCCATTTCGTAATTTTAGAATTGATATATATCTTCATGTACTTTCCGTTGGAAACTTAAATCCACCTGATATTCACTATAAATTCATGGTTCCATCGAAAAATGCTGCGATTGCACAGCAACCATCTCACAGCAATTTTTATTGGCGAATCACTGAGCGATGGTCAGATTGCTCAATGTTATGCCAAGGTAATCGACAACTGAACAAAAAAAAACTATAAAAGAATATAAACTAAATTAAGCAAGATGAGAAAAAAGAGAATAATTTTAGCGAAATAAAGATTAATAAATTCCCGAGATTTATTAGTTTTTATTCAAATATTTCATATGAATGATATCATTTGAACATTACAAAAATAATGGATTAGACATAATAAATAAAAAATAATAATAAAAAAGATAAAAGTACCCGATACCCAATTTATAACTAAAATTGTGCGGCGTTGCTTTGATTTGACTTATTTATATCTTTTATACAAAGAATTTTCTTGCTAAAATCTCTGAAATTGCAATTAACTTTTTATTTATGACTAAAATTAGAATTATTTGCCCAAATCAAAAAACAAAAAGCCACTTAAATTCCAGGTCGCCAAACTCAAGAGGTAGTTTGCGTTGATGCGATCTCGAGTCGAACAGTTCGAGAAAACATGTGCTCGATGCGCAAACCTCCTGTTGAAACTCGCTCATGCAATATAGATTGCAATATTAAGTATTGCAATTTTTTATTCAGTAAAGTTTGTAGAAATAATGGAAGTTTCTCATGTAATGTAAAACTTATCCAGTGAAAAATAGATGAATTAATTTTTAAAAATTTTATTTCAAATATCAGATGGCGAACCATTCAAGTTGGGGTATGTTCGGTTGAGTGTGGTAGTGGAGAAATAAAGCAAGCAAGCGAATGCATAAAATATTTCGATGATGGACGTGAAGAAGTGCTACCTGAAACAGATTGTAGAAATGTGCCGAAACCTAGTGATCGAACTTCTTGTTATATTGATTGTTCTGGTCGAAAATGGATATATACCGATTGGACATCAGTTAGTTTTCAGTTAAGGAATAAGCGATAAAACTATTAACCATTGAAGAAATGTTGCCAGTCGTTCTTAGATCTGATTTTATTGATGCATGCCGGAGATCGCAACTTATCACTGATCTAATTTTATCACTAACTGGGTGTAGACGCATTGAAATACAGTTCAATATGGTTAGATGTGCATGATTCATCGTTGCTTCAATTTTTAATTTGAGTGTACAAAATCTTGTGGTGACAGCGGTGTAAGCAGAAGACAGGCAATTTGTACCGATAAAGCCAATAGACGAATTGATGATCGTAACTGCGAGCAAGTCATGAAGGAAATTACTGAAAAGCAATGCAATCGAATGCGCTGTCCATCATGGGTTTATGGACCTTGGTCAGAAGTGCGTTTTAATGGCATTTTTACTTATCGATGAATATATTTATCTTTATTTCATTTCTTCAATATACCCTACTGGTTTTTTGAGAACCGAAATTCAAGACAATATGTGGTTGGTTAGGAACCAACGCCTTTAACCTCATTTCCTATTCTAATAAGTTTTTAGTGTTCTCGTTCATGCGATGGTGGTATAAAGGTGAGGCATGCTTCATGCTCTGATGCTGCTGGTCATGAAGTGCACATATCGATGTGCAATTTAGCAGATAAACGTGATCATCAAAAATGCAATGAACAGATATGCACGAATTGGAAATTTGGACCTTGGTCACAATGTTCCGTTACTTGTGGAGATGGTACGGAAATTCGTGATGCGATTTGTATTGATAAGGAAGGTCGTCAATTGAACCAGGGTATTGATATATTTAATTTTTAATTTATTTAAACTTCTTTGAATGAATGTTCCCTTTTTGAATTTTTGAAAATATAACCATTTGGTCTACACTGGCAGCTAAGAGGAAGTCCTTTTGCCAGAGATCGTCTTATAGACAGAATGGGCAGATAGGTTCCTAACATTGGAGTTCATTTTTAATGGTAGATCTATTTCCGGATTTCTTCCAACAGCTCTCACCATTACTGGTTAGGCTGGTTCCACTGGTAAGATGTCTCCAAGCTGCTCGGCCTGACCCCATCGCTAGCAATAGAAGTCATTCCTTTTTCCATCGAGTCCGTCCATATATCGCTGGTCTTCTATAGGTATAGGTATATGTGGATAGACGATGGAAAAAAGAAATGGCTTTATTATTGTCGATGGCATAAGATCGAACAAGAACATAGAAATGAAAATCTTTCTTGAATGTATCAGTCCAGGTCTTGATTGGCGCTTCTCGCTTTTGACTCCAACCATTACCAGGGTTTGGCAAGTAATAACGAAATATACGTCAACTCCTATGGTGAACGACAGCGAACGTGCTGTAACCAACGAAGGCGACACTCTATTATGACATACATATGGTATTTATAGGGATTTCGTAACGATTCTATAAAGTCAACCAAAGTTGCAATTTTATCCTTTGCCTGGCCATTTGAAATTAGAGGGGATCCAAGATATTTAAAGTCGGAACTTTCTCAGCCGGCAATGAATTGATAAAAATAGGTTTTTTATCAGCATTTTGTATATAAGACGAAAACACTTTCGTCTTATTTACAATAATTTTGAGTCCAGTTCTTACTGCAGTTGTTTTGATATTGTTTAATATTATTTACATTTCATTATAACTGTCAGCAAAAAGGACTATATCGTTAGCGTATTCATGGTCTGTGATTCTATGCACTGGACTGATCAGCGTCCCTCTCCAATCCAACCTGGTTAGGACGCATTCTGCTATCTCGTATTGCCATGAGTCTATTTAGCAGAAGAGAAGCGAAGATTCCGGAGATGTCCAGTAGGCTGGTTCCTCGGTAACTGTCGCAATACTTCCTGTCAGTACTTTCGCAGTACTTTCTTAGGAATTGAAAACAGAATTGCTTTGCTCCAATCTTCTGGTATTATTTTTTTGCCATACCAGAGAATACATTGGTTGCAGAAGAATTATTAACGATGATGGACAACATTTGAAGAATTCGTTCCGGAGACCATCTTCTATTTTATTGGCCTTAATTTTATGGAATACAGAGATTATTTCCTCTTCTATTGGCGTTTCGCAGTTGCAAATGTTATAGCTCGACGAGCGAATGAATTATATCAGAGACTGCAGATGGCGCATCATGGTGAAATTTGGCCTCAAAAAATTCTTTCTGTTTTATGAGGCAATCCTTAATAGCTTTAACAGATTCCCTATTAATATTCCGTATCATTTCACTGACCCCTTCACGAATTATAGTTGCTTTGTGAAGAACGCGATATATTATTATATATTATTACCTAACCGAGCCGACTTTTCCATTCTCAAGGCCATATAGCTCCAATAGCAATTTCTGTCCCGCTGTGATGCTGTCGCTGTAATCTTCGAAGCACTCGATAATCAGGATCTCCTGATTTTAGGGATTTGGCATCTTTTTCAGATAGTTGGATAGTTGCTTCCGATATCCAACTAGCGCACTTTCTACTAGTATACCCTATTGTAGAAGTAGCTGACTTTCGGAGACATTCCTTAAGTTGGGATTAGTATTCGCCATTCCAGAGATATATTGACATTTATTTCGCTGAGGTGTTTCAATAGTACGGTTTAATATGCTCTTATTTTTCCCGGATTTTTTAATTTGAGGTGGTTAAAAGATCTTGAAATAAGTTGTTTCGTAAGACTTCTCAATTTTATACGAATCTTGGCCCGAATTATAATATAGCTTGATCCATGCGATTAACAGTTTCAGCACCCTGATAAGAAAGCACAGAACTCTTCCAGCGGTAACTGATCAATATATAATCAGTTTGATTGGAATATTGGTTATCCGGAGAGTTCCACGTGACTAGATTTTTTCTCCGATTGTGCATTCCAATCTTCTCCGATTATGACCATATCATTTCTCGGTAGAGATTTTGTTAACAGTTGAAGCTCCTCATAGAACATATCCTTATTCGATCATCTGCGCATAAAGTTGAAACATATGCAGTGATGACCAGAATATTGCAGAACTTTCCTCTCAGAACCTGCGTAGGCTTTAGAGTCATTTACTGGCATCCACTGAATCAGAACAGATCGAATCTTTTCAGACTTGAAAATCTATGCCATTCCATCCCGAATTATCCGAGACACCACAATGATGTAGCCAATATCTCTGCTCGGAACCAGGTTTAATAATCACTCGAGAGCCGACATGAGGAAGATGGATCTCCGACAAACAGGTCATATCCACGCGGTATTTAGAAAGGGTGTGGATAATGATCTCTTGGCTTTTAACATCCATAAGCGTTCTGACATTCCAAGCAGCTATAGCCCGCACCTCGTCGCGCTTACAAAGTGTCAGCAGATAGATTCTTGCCTCCCATGATAGGTTTTGAGTAATTATCTCGGTTCGCGAGCACATGTTCGCGTCTTGGAATTATTTTATTATTATTATTATTATTATTATTATTATTATTATTATTATTATTATTATTATTATTATTATTATAATTATTATTATTATTATTATTATTATTATTATTATTATTATTATTATTATTATTATTATTATTACACCGTTATCGAAGTTATCGAACTAGAATATGATGATAAATCTCAGTCAAAACAATACGCAACTGTATAAAAAACTGCATGCGCCATGTATAAATGAATCTAATATCTAATAAATTCAGATCAGTGTGATCGCCGAGAACGAATCATACAGAAACCTTGCCGAAAGAAACCTTGTCCTTCATGGAAATTAGGTTCTTGGAGTCCTTGCTCCGTATCATGCTTAGATGGTTGGATGACAAGGCGAGTGACATGCGTAGATGCAGATGGGAATGACATTTCAAGTGATCAATGCTTGTCGCTTGGTGAAGCGCGTCCTCAAAGTCATCAAACGTGCAACCAAGGACCTTGTCCATTTTGGCGCACATCAGATTGGTCGAAGGTCAAGTATTTTTTATAGATTAAATCTTTTTCTTCCTTATTTATGGAATTTTTTGGTAAATATTATTTAGCTAATCATCCATCGTCCATAAGTATATTTTTAGTGTTCTGTATCTTGTGATTCGGGGATCAGAAACAGAAATGTTGAATGCATATATCGCGATCAGATCGTTGATGGTTCTTTTTGTACCGAAGCAAAACAACCGAAGCGATTTGAACAGTGCAAGTATGCTGTACAATCGCTAAAATTTAAATTCCATAGAAAAATGATTGATCTTAGCACTATAATATATTATAAATGACAGATTAAATGACATATAAATTTCCAGACCTAGTCTAATTTATCAAAATTTCAGTTTATTACCTTGCCCTATATGGGAAGCATTGCCATGGTCGCATTGCACAGTTACTTGTGGAACAGGAAAGCAGATTCGTCTTGTCCAATGCATACGAGGATCTGCTAGAACAGTTATTGATGACAATGAATGTGATAAGGTCTTTAATAATATAATACAATATTTTTTGGGAATTTAGATATTATCTTCCAAGTTTTGTTTACTTACACCAAATTAGTTGAAGCTTAAGGTTATGCTAATTTTTTGCGGTCATTTTTGTTGTTGATTTAACTGTCTAGAAAGTATCTTAATAACTTAAATCGTTATTTTGCGTAATCATGAGGTTCAATCTTATTTCAAGTATATAAAAGTTAAAATTCGAAGGTCAAGAAAAAATCTTTGATTTTACTGTTTCTTTATTTAGTTAACAAAGCCAAAAACTGAGAAAAAATGTGAACGTGATACTTGCGAATCGATGTTACAAAACGTGATTGATCTGGCCACCACTGATTCTCCAAGAATTCGATGGGCTGTTGGTTTATGGTCAGACTGTTCTCGAACTTGTGGAAATGGAACTCAACGTAGACTGGTCGTATGTCGCGATCATATTCGGGATCTTCCTGACGCTTATTGCCAACATTTAGAAACAATGGAAGCAATGAGATCTTGCAGAATTAAGCCTTGCGTTCAGTGGTCAGTAGGACCCTGGAAGCCGGTGCGTTATTAACTTAAATTCCATTCATTCCTTATTTACCATGAAGACTTTAATCAGAATATATTCATCATTCCGACAGAAACATTTTTAGTGTTCGGCTACATGCGGGACTCATGTAACAACAGAACGCTTGGTTCTTTGCGAAGTGATTGATTCAATAAGCGAAACTGCGGAGGAAACTGACTGTGATATATCAAGCCGTCCTGAAGCAATCCGTTCCTGTAGCCTCAGTCCTTGCCCAATGGGTGAACCTCCATTAGGCCATTGGCTAACTGGCATTTGGGATGAGGTTAATTGAATTCAGATTTTAAGGAATGAAACTAAAAAAATTCGCAAGAATTTCGAATTTATACTTTATAACTTATAAAATCATTTTCACTCGTTTAAATTTTAGTTCAATTTTAGTTTAATTTTAAATTTTAGTGTTCTGTGACATGTGGTGGCGGTTGGCGCCGTCGTTTAGTTTCTTGCAGCACCGAGCAATGCGATGAGAAAAAAAAGCCCGAACAATTTGAAAGATGTAACATAAAAAGATGTGTGGAAAAACTTGCTGTGTGGCAGATGTCACCGTGGAGCCATGTAATTTTTCACATGTCCAAGATTTGTCTAAAATCTCGAAATATCAAATTTTTCACTTAAAATTTTTTCTGAGCTAATTTTTTCAAGCTCGAAATATTGTAGTGTTCTGTAACTTGTGGTGGTGGTGCACAAAAGCGCATAGTTTGGTGCGAAGATGAACAAACTCGACAACGGCTTGCGGATTCTGATTGTCCTCTCGTCGAGAAACCAAAAATTAGTCGTGAATGTGCAACTCAAAATTGCAAACTCTCAGTAAAATCGGATCACTATAAATGGCATGCAGTTAAATGGAGCCCGGTACGTGGTTGACGATAAGTCGTCCATGCAATATTCTAAATATATTTCAAATATGCATTTATCATACAAATTCCGCCTAAGGAAACGACATCTTTCGAACTCGTTCGCAGTTATGTCAATCATTTGTGTGTCCCTTCATGTTTCGTTAACAAACACCTATATCATAATTAAAAAATATCAAAATACCTATTTTTAAAATGCCGTATCTTATAATTACAAATTTTCCATTTAAATGAGAAAAAACTAGGAAAAAATTTTAGAATTTTCTCGGTCATATTTTTATATTATATTTTCTACATCATTTTTAAGTCGTTGCCCTTATTATCTCAAAAGATTTTTTTTGAAGCGATATACATCGGTAAAAAGCCATTAAAAGATAGCTAGAGCTATAACTCGATGAACTCCGAATTCAATAGGCAAATTCAAACTGCCAAGCTCTTTTGGTTCATTTTGAAATCTGAGTGTTGCACCAGAATGATATTGCTAGCGAAAGTGGAGCTAAGAAAATTAAGAACAGTGGTCATCACCAAAGTGCTTTTCGTAGTGCATGTTGTTGTGTAATTTGTGTCCATTATTTCACATAATAGCACGTATTCTGTGATAGAAATCTGCAACACAGTATTTGTAGATTTTCAGGGAAATGTAAATGGTTCTCGTAGGTTTTAGAAATTTTGATAAAAAAAACTTAAGATTTATTTAATGACTATATAGCATTCGTTTTGTTCGCATTTAATTTTGTTCTCAGGAATCTTTTGAAATCACTTTTTCTTTTGAATGTCTCTCTATTGTCCTTTCCTTAAAATTTCTCAAAAGCTTTATTGTCTTTCTTCGGTAATCAGCGTTTACCTAATTATATTTGAAGAAATATTTCGAATGAATGTGCTACTGGATTTTACATTATGCTTAGAAATGGTTTGCATGTTCACTACTGCTGTCATTATTCCTTATCATTTTAAATTTATTATTGCAATTGATATATTATTATACCTCTTTTGTATGATTATAAATAATGAATTTGATCTATATTTTATCTAATCTGAAATTTTTTATGAGGACTTTTCGCTTATAAATTAATAAATTTAAAGAATCCACTTATATGTAATCTTGTAGAAATAATGTTATTTATAGGAACCCATTAGTGGGCAAAAAAAGTAAAATCCATAAATTAATACTTAAGTTGGTAACACGAAAACGATCAATCATGAAGGTCACCAGTGTTTTTAGAGAAGTTTAAATTTTTTTAAGAAATACTCGTTGTTTAATTCTTTTTGATAAATCATCCACGAATATTGTTAGCATATTTCACAAATATTTAATTTTTTCACTCTATTGAGCTCTCATAAGCCAAAAAAGCTTTTTTCACCTTGGTGCATGAGACTTTTTTGTTCGTTATTTTTATTTCTGTATGCCAACGTCCTTATTTTCAAGTAATAAATAGCAATTTATTGTTATAAACATTGCTTTAAAGTAACTTTCTGCGTTTCTACGAATTTTCATTGTTAACGAACGAAGTTTGCCTTTTCTGTAATAAAAGGCTCTTTCTGTGAATTTTATTTCATGGAATCAGAAAAAATTTCAACATTTCATAGGATTTTAAATTCTGCTTTTTAAAATAATAAACAATTTATCATTTGTTCACCATTTACCGAATGTTTTAAAAATGGTCGCATTTGATTTTTGGCAAAAATTTATTATTTATTTATATATTTAAATTTTTCTATTATATTTTGTATCGCAATATTATTTGTAGTGTTCAACAACATGTGGTCGTGGAGTTCGCAAACGTATTGTAACATGCATCAGTGCATCAGCAGATATTGTTCCGGATCATTATTGTGATTCAGCAAAAAGACCTATTGATTCTCATCGATGCAGAATGGCTCATTGTCCAAGGTGGAGAACGAGTAGGTGGTCAATGGTATGTTTATTTCATTTAAATGATTATATACACAAGAACAAATATTTAATACGAAGTTCCAGTGTATAATAATAATTCATAAATAACTATTATAGTGTTCTGTAACATGTGGTGAAGGTGTACGAACTCGATTAATTTCTTGTCAAAAAGGGCGTCACACCAAAATATCCGATAATGAATGTGCTTCTGTTTCAAAGCCGCCACAAACATCTGTTTGCCAACTTGCTTCTTGCCCAGCTTATCATTGGGTAGCCACACCATGGTCGAAGGTGAATTATTTAAATGCCCATTTATACAAATTTAATATAAATTTCCTTACTAAATGGATTTTTAAAAGAATAACATGATGTCTTGGCTTTTGTTGGAAGAGTATTTTCCTCATTCTTGAATGTATAACGCTTAAGATAGTCAGCCCATTACTAATCAACTAATTTTTAGTGTTCTGATCCATGCAGAAAATCTGAACAACATCGTCGTGTTTACTGCATTAATAATTTGGGTAAAAGAGCCACACCAAGAATGTGTAGCAATTTATCTGCGCCACCATCAGTACGAGAATGTTCAACTTCAAATTGTCCATATCAATGGGTACCTGGTCCATGGAGCACGGTCTTTATTTTTGTTGATTAATTCCTTCCATATTCAAAAAAGAATTTAATAAAAAATATGTGATGAATTCTATACAAATATTTGTATTGTTTGTTAAATAATAAATAATGTGCTCTTTCAGTGCTCCAAAACCTGTGGTAGTGGTTATCAATTTCGCCGTTTGGAATGTCGCATCAAAAGTAATTATCGAAATAATAAGCATAACAATGGGCTGGAACCAAGTGTACAATCAAGCATTTGTAATGGCTTATCTCGGCCAACTGTAAGTAAGGAATGTGCTATAAATCCATGCGATGCGAAATATCATTGGTCAGTGGGTCCATGGACTCAGGTAATCCCTAGACTTCGATTAAAAAACATCTGGACTAATAGATTTTAAGTAAAAAATTAAAGAACATCTTTGCGATTTATTCACTAATTTTTCTTAAGTGTTCTGTGTCTTGTGGACTTGGTTTTCGACGTCGACGTGTGAAATGTCTCGATAAAGATAACAATCGAGTAACTCGCGATGAATGTGAACAAAACAATCTTGAACGTCCAAAACGACGTGAAAGCTGCTTTTTACGAAACTGTACTTTTTTAGGATTATCGAATTTTTAATTTAGCTTTTAGTTTTATGCTTAAGTATTCGATTCAATTTTTCAAGATAAGCATTTGTACATTTTCGGAAGGAAATTTTTCGCTTTTGTTTCTGTTTCATTTATCCAAAAACTTCCATAAATCTTGGCCATCTTGGCCAGAATTATCTTTTTTCGTAATATTTATTCCATTCAGAATCATATTCATTTCGACATTTTATTATTGTTTTAATTAGTTAATTGGTTTAATTAGTTGAAACTAACAATAACTTCTGAATTATTTGTGATAAATAATCTAGGCTCCGCTTTTTTGTTTTTTCAGGTTTACCTGGCGATTGTGCTGAATTAAAGACTTACAATAATGATGTGGAAACGCATGATGGGGATTATGTCGTGCTCGTTGCTGGATTCCAGATAAAAGTATATTGCCATCTAATGAATGAAACCATCCCAAAAACTTATATTAATTTGAATAGCGAAAATAATTTCGCTGAAATATATGGCAAACGGTAAGATATTTCCTGCATTCCATTATGTCATCTGATTTCTCTTCTTCTAACAGTTCGCACGACTACTAAATTAGATTAGCTCTGCTGACTACAAGGATGAGACGCTTCCAAGCCTTTCAGTCCAATTCCACATCTAAAAGTAGCATACTTTCATTCCCATATATTGCTAAACTTCAGAATATCTTCTAATTGTATCAATCCAGTTCTAAATATCGCTCTTAGTATTATCCATCAAGGATATAATAAATAGCGAGATGTGTGTCAATTTCTTAACCTTAATAATTGCGAGTGGTTGATTGTTGAAGTTGCTCTGCCATCTACAATATTATTATTTTTTATTTTTATTATATCGGTCATTCAATATTCAATATACTTTACATCAAAATCAATATTTTTTTTTCAATATTTGGAGAAAAAAAAAATTATTAAGAAATTATTCTCGATTTATTTTGTTTTACTTGGAAATTATTTCTGGTAACAATTCAGCTACGCTCAGCTAAGTTCTCTTGAACTTTTAATTTTTTTTTCTTTTTTTTT